AAAATAATTTTTAAACCCATGTAGATGAGAGATCACTAAAGGCTCATGAAAAAGCAAATTAGGAGTAAAACTATGCATAAACTTAACAAATGTTGAAATCTAGCTGCGAAATAAGCATATTTTAGTTCCGTAACTTGAAACATGCCATTGGAAATGAACACAGGCAAGCAGAGATATTCCATCTGTAGTGCGCTCCAGAGGAGGTCACAACAACCAGGGCTGGGCCAAGACAAAACCAGAATCTACCTAGGTCCTGCAGGAGAGTGGCAGAGGCTTCCCTGGTCCAGCCATCAGCTGCTACACCCAGGCTGTGTGCCAGCAGGAAACTGAAACTGGGAGGAGAGAATGCAGTTGATCTCAATCACACAGATGTGTGATGAAGACTTCACAGCCATCAACTTACTGGCTGTGGCAAACACATTTCCATGATTGTAAGTATCCTCATGAGCACGGCTGTGTCGACCACAGGACAGCTAGCATCGTTTTTGAAACATTTACTTATTTATTGGAAAAGCAGAGTTAGAGGGAGAGGTGGAAGGAGAGAGAGAGTGAGAGAGAAAAACAGACACACAGAGAGAGAAACAGAGAGAGAGAGAATCTTCCATCCTTCATGTCAGTCTCCAGATAGCCACAGAAGGCTGGCTATGGAGGTCTATTATCAGGTCTTCACCATGGCAGGCAGGGTTCTAAGGATGTGAGTCACGTCCCACTGCTTTTTCCAGGGCATTAATACGGTGCTGGATCAGAAGTAAAGCACAAACTTGCACTCATGTAGGCTGCTAGTGTTGTATGCTGCAAGCCTGGACCCAATATATAGGATTTTATTTTGTTTTGTTTAGTTTTTCTAAGGAGTGTTCTGAATATGAAATATAGATTAAGCATTTTTAAAATAAATTCTCTCATTCTAAATTGAACAAAAATCAGTGAAAGCTTTTTTCTAGATTATCATTCTTGACAGTTTTTTTTTTTTTTTTTGTAATATGCCTGTCTTGGTTTTTCTTTTCCAGTACAAAGCCATTTGTTTCAAAAGGCAGCAAAACTAAAATAGGACTGTTATCATTTTTGAAAATAAGTTCCCAAGAGGAAAGTATATATATTTTACCAAAACACCTGAATTTGGATTTTATTTCAAGACAAAACAACAGAGTCTTCCAAAAAAATGTTTGAGACTGATGCCAGGAATATATGTCAAGTTTAAAATGAGTTTCAGGACAGTATCCTAAGAAATATTTTTTAAATATGTAAGTGTATCACATTCATTGCAAAAACCTCACATTCAAAAGAGCAAGCAGAAAGGGAATAACAAACACAGCTTTCAAAAAGCTGCATAGGTAGTCCTTTTAGCTATTCCAATGGAGAATTTTTGATTCTCAACAAATGAAGAAGAAAAAAATGCTAGAAAACTAAAAATAATATACTCCTTTTAAATTTCATTCCACAGCTGGTGCTCAGTTAAATGACTGCAACGAGCCAGAGATACACATGTATATGTGTTACGATCTGGAGAAATCTTGCAGCTGCAAGTGTATTTCACTTCACTGTCTACCCCTCCGCCCTTCTGTCCTTTAATGTCAACTGCCTTTGTAGTGAAGACTGTGCAGAGCACGGCCTGGGAACAGCCTGGAAACTCAGGTGTCCTCATGCTTGTATGTGTTCCTATTCAACTGCTGAGCAACATACAGCATTACACAGTCAGGAAACAGGTTGAATCAGTTAAAGTTGGGAGACATTGAAATAACCGTTACTTGCAGACCCTTTCAGGGAATTTTCTTTCTTTCTTTTTAATGGAAAGTGCAGCAGCCAGGATACAATCAGGGAACTTTTAATCACTTTTATTTTGTGCAAGTGTGTCTTTTCAGATCTTCCAGAACATTTCAGGTAGTAACACACTTGCTCATTTGTATCAGCTAATGAAGAATAATTAAAATAATAATAAAGCAAGTAGCATATTCACTGATAGATTAGCATTTTTTTAAAAAAAAATCTCACTTTGCCTTATGCTCTCATATATTCAGATATTACAATGGTAAAAAGAAACTGTATAATAACTTCAATAAATATTTAAGGTAATAGTATAAAAATAGACTAAAGTGATGGAAAGGAATAGTTGGTAAATTAACCACCTGGTAGAATTAGTAACAAATTATAATAGCAAAAGACAGGATTAGAAACCTGGGAGGAAAAGCAATTAAATATGATAAAGATAAGAAACACAGAAAAAAACACAAAGAAAGGATATAACAGTGAAAATTTTCACATATATTTAAATGGACCCTGGAGAACAGAGGAAAAGAAAGTAGAATTATTTAAAAAGTGAGAGTTAATTTCGCTCTAAAGTTTAAAGGTAAAGTCAAAAAACAAAAAACGGATAATAAAAACCAGGGAAATAATGACAGTAAAAGCATTTACTCACCAACAAAATAAAAATCATGTCATATCTCCAAATACAACCATTATACATGCATTTGGGAGTATAACAAGGATGGCGCTACAACTTAGTGAATAGAGGATTTTTTTTTTCTCCAATACATGACAGAAAATTGGATATTCACACAGAAAAAAAAGCTGAAACTTACCTTCACAGCGTTGATATAGTCAGATTGATTTTAGGAACAGATTGAGTTTTAGAAACATGCAGAGGAGGATGAAAGTTTGAGTAGGTGGTGGACAAACTCTTTAAATCAGCTGTCTCTTTGGGATGCTGTTCATCTATAATTAGCTTTATCTAAATGTCCAAACTCCATGGAGAAAAACTGAGCTACACTCAAAACTCCTCTTTCTTATATACTTGTCAATATATTTACATGTCTGAAAACAGTAATCAGCACAGATACAGGTGAGCATTTAGATAAGCTATGGGCTCATTTGAATTGTCTCTCTCAAAATGAACAAACCAATAACAGTTTGTGAAAAGTCCCAGAATAGATGCCTCTGAAGGACGCAAAATTTGAACAAGCTTAAGGTTATCATAAGAAAACACGCTGACAAACACAGAAATTAGAAATGAACACTTGCATGAACAGTAGCATATTCCTAGAAAAAAAAAGTAGGTTTCCTTGCTTTGTCCTTTGTTCAACCCAGAGACAGCTAGCTTAGGATGGGGTATGTGTTCTTGCCTCCACCAAAGTGCAAGCTGTAGGCAGCACATTTTCCACTCGGGGGAAAAAAAATCACAACAAAACTGTTGGTGAGATGTTGAAGGTTTCAAGGCAACTGAGGATTTATTTCATATCTTGCACTGGAAACTGCTTAAGAGAATTCAATTTAGAATTTTAATTGTCTTCTAAGTTTTATTTCAGACAGGCATTTCAACCTAAGATTTTTCTCCTTGTTATGTTTACATTTCTTCTGTTGCTTTTCAAAGGTCTGCTTCCTGACCCATCAACTCCCCAGTCTCTGGAACACAGAAGTGATAAACTGGATTTCCTGTTGAGGTGGCTGCAATCACAGCCAACCAGCCCTTCCATCACACTTTCTATGCGCACCAAACCTGATAAGTCACATCTGCCTTGTTCTTGATTTTTTTTTCCTACAGAAAATCATCTGCTTTTTTCTCCCAACATCAAATAAATACAAACAAGAAAACAAATGAGAGTGATCCATGTGCAAGAAGCTCCCAGAACTATCTGAAATGTTTAGGTAGGAAGCTCATTGGCTCTGGGTTTAGATTATAGTCCCAGCTAGAGCCCTCAAGAGACTATTTTCTCGGCTTGAATAGTGCTTCTCTCAGCCTAACAGAGTAACTGAGAAGCAAGTATCTTCTCTCAACACAGCACTCGCCCCTGTCTAAGAAAGCCCCACTGTGTCAGCAAAGGTCAGCAAGGAGAGATTAAATTCAAGAGGTATGCCAGCTCTGGTATGATAGGGAGTGTCCCTCTTCTGCAAGGTCATGCGTCCAATATCATCATGATTTATGTCAATGGTAACCACAGTGAGGTAACATTCTTCCCAATTTATCATGGGGAATTACTCCAAAATATAGCTGAATGCAGCTTCTTAATTTATAAATCGCAGAAGAGGTTTCAAAATATAACCCAAACGCTATCTCCTTTGGAGGGAACTTCCGTTATCACTACACTTCAGTCTAACAGGAAAATTCAGCATGTGTTAAGTGAATACTGAAAAGAATACCATGAGTTGTATGGATTTTACTAAAGAATTTGTGGGAAGACAAGGGAAAAATTGGCCTTTAGCACCACACTATAAGCAAGTTAGTTTCTAAAAATTCTCTTTGAGAAATGCTGGTACTAAAGTCCCTGTTTGGTTATATTGCCAATTTGTTTCTTTCCCCTTTTTGAATTCTCTACCACTTTGTGAAAACCTACATCACAGTCGGCCACCTCTGACCTCTATCCACTCCACGAATGTGGCTTTGGAAATGTTTAAGCCATTTGTGGCGGCGTTTTTTTTCATGAACAGTAATATTCTGAGGGTATCTGGCCTTCTACAGACACCTCTGGAATGCTTCTGGCTTATAAGCTTTCTGTTTTCTTCCTTATATCTTGAAGCCGTTTAGATTTTAATTGCGTTTTTTACATGGATTGATGCATACTGGTCCTCAGTGTATTCTATCAGCATACTTTCAAAGTAAATTTTGTAGAGGTGAACAAAAAGGAGATCAATGCAACTTGAAGAAAATAAAAGTCGTAATTAAACTAAAACAAAACAATAGCCTGACCCATGGCCTTGGAAATGCCTCCTTAAATGTTTAAATTCTTCTTGAAAAGTGTGGAACTCTCTTAAGCATGACTTATTACAGGAATACTTTTGTTGAGACAAGCTTTTAAAGTTCTATAATCTGTTATAAATATCCAAGCTAGGAAAAATATTACCATAAGTAAAATTAAATCACATAAGTGTTTTATTTCACTAATTTCTGGAGAATAGGGGACATTATAGTTCTTTTAGCAGGACAGCTACAACATGTTAAAGCACAATAAGGACTGAGATTTTATGACAATCCACTGAGACATTCACTATAACTTGAACCTTTTACTTACCTCTGTCAGATGGCCAAAAGTTGGTTTAGCAGTATAAAGCATAAGTTGTTTGGTCACTTCATCTAATTCTAGAGAGAAAAAATGGAATATGATCAAAAATAATTTTATAATAAGCAAAAAACTAAGGACATTACCAATTATATCAATCAGTATAGATTATGTATATATCAAAATGGGAGAGAAATTTTCTTTTTCCCCAAATACAAGTTCATTAATATACCTTCTTAAATTTATATCCAAATATGATTAGATTATCAAGAGCATTTTAATGTGGGTTCTTTCTGTATTACATCCATGATCTTAATAACTAATTATTGGATAATTTTTTAGCAAACATTATCAACTGGCTATTCTAAAACCATGCCTCTGTCCCTTAGTGGAATCACGTTCCATGACTGAGGGCAAAACTCTGAAATACTTGATCGTTGAAGGACACCATGCTCCTAAAATACAGATATGACATGCAAATTGAAAGAGATGGTTTAGGGTAAAAATGTAGAAGTTTTTAAAGATTTATTTATTTTACTTGGAAAGTCATATTTAAAAGAGGAAAAGATAAAGAGAGAGGGAGCTTTTATGTTGCTGGTTCACTCTTTATATGGCCATATGGCCAAAGCCAGATTTAGAATAAACAAGAAAGTATTTATGATTTTTCTTGCATAGTGGAAAACAGCAGGTGAATCTACTTAAAGCTAACCAATGGAATTTAAGGGGACATGCATGTGATGGGAGAGGTTTCTGGAATACTGTTACGGATTAGACAAACTCATGTAGATGTTTAAATTCTGAAATTTATGATAATGCTTCATGGAAGAATGCTAACAGTTGATGAATCAGAGAACAAGCTTGATTCAATTATGGCATCTTGAAGATACAGCCTTTGGAAGTTTGTTGTGTTGGATTGGGGTAGCTAGAATGAGCACAGATGCTTGAATCATGATGGCTTTTTAAAAGGAGACTACATACAGGAAAGTGGAAGTCTCTGATCCCTGTCTCATTCTATCATTCCCTGACTTCCACTCTGTCATTGCCAACCTCCACCAAATGCCAAATTTATGCAGATGTCCATGACTTGTAAAGTTTTGACTGTACAACTCTAATTTGAAATAAACTTTATTCCTTCCTAAGAGGTTCCTCAGAGGTATTTTAGTTACACTAATGAAAAACAGATTAATACAGACTAGACTTCAGAACATACAATCAGTCCAGAATGATCAACTGCCCATTAAGTTTGGGACAAGCTTATGTTGGATTATAAAGTCTGCCAGCAGCGTGTTGAGTTCAAAAAAGACAACACTAAGGAATACAGCCAACACATGATAGTTGACCAAGTGAAAAACAAAACAAAACAAAACAAATCTTTGCTTATATAACTGAACAATCTGCTTATTCTTACATGGATTACAAATGACCTTATCCTTAATTAGATATTTTAATTTGTGCCTAAATTATTCTCAATCATATGTAGTAAGCCAAAATAAAATCTAGAAAATGATACTTAATGTACAAACCATCCAATTAGTGAACAAACTGTTTGATCATTTTTCATCCCTAAACTTATGTAATCCTCAATCTCCCTTTACTTCAATATTCAATAAGTGGAGAATCTATGAATATATTTGTTTATTTATTTATTTATTTTTATTACAAAGTCAGATATATAGGAAGCAGGAGAGCAGAGAGGAAGATCTTTCATCCAATGATTCACTCCCCAAGTGAGCACAACGGCTGGTTTTGTGCCAATCCAGAGGCAGGAGCCAGGAACTTCCTCCAGGTCTCCCACACAGGTGAAGGATCCCAAAGCATTGGACCGTCCTTGACTGTTTTCCCAGGTCACAAGCAGGGAGCTGGATGGGAAGTGGAGCTGCAGGGAATGGAACCTGCGCCCATGTGGGATCCCGGCGCATTCAAGGTAAGGATTTTAGCCACTAGGCCACAGCGCCAGGCCCAAGAATCTATTAATATATTTGAAGTAAAAATACCAGTAAGCATGTCAACTGATTTTAAGCCTATTTAAAAATCAATATTCACGGGCCCAGCGCGATGGCGCAAGTGGTTAAGGTCCTCACCTTGCACGCCTGGGATCCCATATGGGCGCCGGTTCTAATTCCCGGCAGCCCCGCTTCCCTTCCAGCTCCCTGCCTGTGGTCCGGGAAAGGAGTAGAGGACGGCCCAAAGCCTTGGGACCCTGCACCCGCGTGGGAGACCCGGAAGAGGCTCCTGGCTTTGGATCGGCATAGCATCAGCCGTTGTGCTCACTTGGGGAGTGAATCATCCGATGGAAGATCTTCCTCTCTGTCTCTCCTCTCTGTATATCTGCCTTTCCAACGAAAAAATAATAAAAATAAATCTTTAAAAAAAAATCAATATTCACACAAAATCATAATGTAACTTAATATTTTAAAACCTGTTTACTGCCCTAAGTAACAAAAGTTAAAGAACAGTGGGAAAACTTTTATAACCCATATGAACTTGACTATAATAAATAGAACACATTTAATTGAAAAAACTACCAGTTGGCCCTAGTGTTTGCATGAGTGAATTAATATTGTTTATTGGGACAAGATTGGTTTGTCCATACATATAAATCCACGTGTTTCAGTTCAAGTAACGAGTATTTCCTTCTGTGGTCTTTGAGTGGGACACAGAAATCAAACTGTGTGGTGTAAGAAAGAAGTTTACAATATTAAAACCTGTGCATAGTAAATGTTAGTCACCACTAGACAAGTTAATCTTGACATGTGGAAAACATTTGTATAAAACAGTTGGGATTCAGTCATCAAATGATAGTAAATCAAAAATGTAAGACCAATTTACAAAATAAGAGGAGACATGGGGAAAACTCTCCTATAATCAGATGCTAAAATTACATAAAAACTTTAAAAATAATTATAGCTAAACTTTAAATAAATATAGGGTATGGCTATTTGTTGTAGAATTAACGTCCTGTTTAGAATGCACATATCCAATATTGGAGCATCTAGATGGAAATCCCAGCTCGACTTCTGATTCCAGCTTTTTACTAAAATGCCTTTTAACAGACACTAGATGAGTGGCCCATGTGCTTGGGTCTTTGCCTTATAGAAGATATGAATTGAGGTCCTCTGTCCTAGCTTGAATCTGGCCAAGACCAAGCTATTGGGGCATATAAGTAGTGCAAAATAATAATAATAATAATGTATGAGAGATCTGTGCATGTGTATGTCTTTCAAACAAACAAAAATACATGTTTTAAATAATGAAAGAGCCATGATTCATGCATTTATGCCAAGGCAGTTCAAGATGTAGAATTTTAGGAAATCACTAACATATGTCAAAAATAAATAAGTTTATTCATAATATACCTTTCTGTAATTTTTAGTAAACTTCCCTTATTGAAAATACAAAAAATAATAAAATAAATAAGGGATTTCATATTTATGAACAAAATAAAAGAAAAAATTGATAGATGTGCTTTGCCCTTAGATAAAATGCAGCTGACTTAAGTGAAGCATGAAATAAACTATGAAATAATTAGCAAGGAAATGAAATAATCGCAGGTGTCCACCAGCTGATGACTGAATAAATAAATGATGCGCATATACACTAACAGATACTACACATTCACAAACTGAATAAACAAAACAGACACAACTCAAACCCATTAGGCTTAGTGAAATAAGCCAGCCCAAAGAGACAAATGTTGGTCCCTCATCTGTGACACCTAAAGGACAAAGTACATTTAAAATTAACATTTTGAGATTTGATTATACTCCTGAAGAACAGTTTTTTTTTCTTACTTGATGTTGTTGAATTCCTTACCCAACGATGTGTTAAGCTTGAGAATGTAAAGGCAAATTAAAACATGCTATTGGTAAACAAAGAGACAAACAAACAAAAGAAAATCTGTGAGACAGAAGGAGTTGGAATGTGTCATGTGGTGTCCTTATGCTCCTGGACCTATGCTGCAAAATGCATGAAACCTGTTGCCCTATATATATGTAATATAGATTTTAAAAAATGGAGAGAAAAAATGAAGAAAAGCTTCCACTTGTATATAAAGAAAAGCACTGTCTATAATTCAAGATAGGTGACTATCTTTAAGAACACGACATGGATGTGTATTTCCTTAGAAGAACCCAAAGACAGTATTGGTATGACCAAAATGTTCGTGACTATTTTAGATAAGAATATCTACCAATAACATGAAGACATTTAAAAGGTAAACTCAGAGGGAAGAAAATTCAAAACATCAGAATTTCATTCATGTATATGATTTAAAAACTTTCAAATCAACACAGGTAAATTTCCAAATGAGCAAATTATTTAAACACATCCAATTTCAAACAGTATACTCCAATCACAATGTGTTATTATATTGTTTAATCACATTATTCTGCAAGATAACCCAAGTTGAAATCACAAGGGGATGACATTGTTTTTCTATGTAAATTTCTCAAATGAAAAAGAAAATCCCAGAGTTGGCAAGTATCAGAAGCAATAGCAGTAGCAATTCTTACAGCCTGACAGAGGGAGGGAAAGCATGCACAAAGCAATATAAACAACGGCTTCACTGTATTTACTAAGCTGAACCTGTGCATAAACCATGTACTAGAAATTCCATTCTGAGATTTAAGTCTGCTTGGAATATGTACAGCAAAAGGCATGTGCTAGAATGGAAGAATGTTCAAGGTATTTTTCTATAACAGAAACAAGATGAAAACAAAACTAATAGTCATGAGCTGTAAACTTGATAAAAGGGATATATGCAGATGAGAGGATATCGTACAACCATAAAGATAAAATATTGACAAACTGACATAGCCAACATGTATGATGCTCACAAATGCAATATTGAGTAATGGATACCACTTGCTAAACCATACAAAGCACTTCTTTTATAAAATTTAAAAAGAAGCTATGCCTGTAGTGGGCCTCCTGATTGTCCTTGGGGAGGGGGCACCAGCAGCAGGCCTTCAAAACCCTCTGCACGGAGGCTTTCCAAACAAGTCACAGGTATGTCCTGCTAAGCACACTAGTTCCCTAGGGGGAGGAAAACTCAGTGGGCCTCCAGGACAACACCATCCTA